AAAAATGAAAATATGTAACCTTTGGACCTCTGGCCTTTCCAGAATCCAAGGTTGGATCTAGATGCACACACAAAAGGGTTCTAATCTCCCCGCATTTGTATTGAGCAATCTCAAAGTCCCAGCTGAACAAGTTAGTTATTGACAAGCCTTCACCCCCAATAGGAAACAGATTACAGTTGTTTGAGTGAACACTTTGTCTTTAAGGGGAGAGAGAAAGAAATGAAACTCCTCTGGCTCCACTCACTTCATCATTAGAAAGACTGAAAACCTGGAGCCTATACATGGTTAGATTAGTGTTTCACAATTACCTTATTCTCGGAGGAAAAGTTAAGGGTTAGGGGTTAAAATGTGTGCCCCAAAAGCTATGGAACCTGTGGATGGGACATTTTTTGGAAAAAGGATCTTTGCAGATGGGATCAAGTTAAGATGAGGTCATTTGGGTCAACAATAATTCAAAATGACTAGCATCCTTATAAAAAGAATATAAATATAAATATAAATATAAAAGGAGAAGAGAAGAAACACAGAGACGGGACCCACAGAGGGAGGATGACATGAAGACCACAGGGACGACACCGCGTGACCCATGAGGCAGAGCCAGAGCCATGTGTCTACCAGGCAAGGGTGCCGAGGACTCGCTGGCAGCCACCAGAAACTAAGAGAAAGACCTGGAAGAGTCCCCCCTAGAGCCTTCAGAGCGAGCAGGGTCCTGCCCATCTTGATTTCAGACTTGTGGCCTCCAGACCTGTGAGGCAATTCTGCTGTCTTAAGCCTCCCCTTTTGTGGTATTTTGTTAGAACAGCCCTCGGAATCCATACCAGGTATCACTTTAAATGCCAAGCAACCAATGCCTTTATCAAGAGCCACCTCGTGTGTCACTCCTTCCTCATAAGTTATTTTTAGGGGAGAAATAAGATTGAGAAACAACCACTAGTTCTAATTTTATGTCTTAATTTGCGGAAGGAAATACAGTGTCTATAAATGCTGCATAATATTGCATTAGAATATACTTTTTTTTTTTAATGGAAAAAAAACACATGACTAAGCACCGCAGAATTTTTGTCTTTCTATTTAGAACAATGTTATTTTATGGTTAAGTTCTTCCATATAAAAACATTGTTTTCAAAAAAATAACATAATATAGGGGTTGGAGACTTCCTGTCATTTTGGGAGTGGTCTCCAACCCGTGACCTGGCTGTCCTGCTTGGATATTTCTTCAGGGAGGAAACGACGCACTTGGGAACTCTGGAGTCTCAGCCGTCACATTTTGGTGGGGCAGAGCCAGATGTACTTGATGAATCACATTCTGGAACAATCCCCAGCTTTGTCGGATATATCTGTCCTTTCAAGCTTTTTCTGAGAACTCATTCTAGTGAGGGGTCTCTCCTTCCTGCAAAGCCCGGCCCTGGGCCCCACTTAAATGCTCACTGAGATAAGTAAGAAGAGAAGGCTGTGCACGCCCCAACTCTTTCCCCAGGGAAAGGAGGGAGTGACACAGAGCACAGACAGGAACGCACAATTTGCTTGAGGAAGGAGTGATGTAATTTGATTCTCACTCTGTAACCCCCATGTCTGGACCTGCTCATTTCACCACCTCCAACGTTTTTTCAAACATTTCTTCTTCCCAGTCCCATGATTTTCTTCCCCTGTGAGGCCTCTGCGAGCTCCCATCAGCTGCTGCAATGGGGCTTTGATTGGCCCTCCTGGCCACGGACTTCGTCAGTGCCCGATTCTGTGGCCAGATGAACCTTCCATAATATAGTTTTGGAAACATCGCTTCCATTCTTCAAACTTTGAATTTATATTTATTGGGGAGTTTATTATGTGCAAGATAATATGCTTTATGGAGAGACCATGTAGGAAAAGTTACGAAGGCACTGGCTGCTCACCATACTGTGCTCTTCCGGACAGTGGAGGGGGCTTGGGCTTAGAGGATTTGAATTTGTGGTAAAGAGAGGATTTCCTCTAGGCCAGTGCTCTTTTTTTTTTTTTATCCTCACCCGAGGACATTTCTCCATTTTTTGTACAGATAGAGTGGGAGGGAGAGAGAGGAAGGGAGAGAGAGAAACATCGACATGAAAGGGACACATCGAGTGGCTGCCACCCGCACGACCAACCAGGGCCAGGGACAAACTGCAACCGAAGTACGTGCCCTTAGCGGAAACCGAACCCGGGTCTCTCTGGACCGCAGGCCGACGCTCTAATCGCTGAGCCGGCCAGGGCTAGGCCAGTGCTCTTCAACTTGAGCAAGCATCACCTGGAGGGCTTGTTGGACACATTGATGGGCCTTCCCAGAGTCTCTGATTCTGGAGTGGGGCCTGAGAACTTGCATTTCTAGCAAACTCCCCAGGGATGCTGATGGAGGTGATTGAGGAGCAAACTTTGAGGGAGGGAAAACAGTTTGGAAAGAGTGGTGATGGTTACACAACATTGTGGCTTTACTTGATGCCACTGTTCACTTAAAAAAGGGCTAAAATGGGCTCTGGCCAGTTTGGCTCAGTGGTTAGAACATCAGACTGCGGTCTGGAGAGACCCAGGTTCGGTTCCCATTAAGGGCATGTACCTCGGTTGCAGTTTGTCCCTGGCACTGGTTAGGTCGTGTGGGTGGCAGCCCCTCGATGTGTCCCTTTCACGTCCATGTTTCTCTCTCTCTCTCTCTCCCTCCCACTCTATCTGAACAAAATATTGAAAAATGTCCTCGGGTGAGGATAAAAAAAAATAAAATTGAAAACAGGGCTAAAATGGTAAGTTTTGTTATTATATTTGATCATAAAAATACAAAAAAGAAATAGTACATGCTGATAGAAAAGAGTTCAAATAATATACACACACATAAAGCAAAAAGTGAATGAGAGGCCTGAGGTTGTTAATCCTTCCTCCAGTATCCAAATGCACAGGAGAATCTCCCAAAAGACTTGGTAACCATTCAAAGGGGGCCTGGAGATGGGCTGAGAATGGGCAACCAAAGGGCCCTGTGCCCTGGGCTTGGAGAGTGCAGAGGCATTAGGGAGGGAGCCCACGCGGCGCCTGTCGCTTAAGACTGCACCCTTCGCTGGAATCCAGAAAGAAAGGGGCCCAGACACCTCTCCTTTGACACCAGTACATGCTGAGGGTACCCAGGAAATGGAAGGGCAAGAGAAAGAAGTCTAATTGTCTCCATTGTAAAATAGAAGGGGTAGAATTTTCTTGATAGCATCGTTAAGTTTTCTGCCATTGGCGGAAATGAAATGATTAAGATGGCCAAGGAATCTGAAGTAACAAAATTTTATAATAATAAATGGTGTAAAAGTATCTTATGCCATTCTCTACAGCATCTACTCTCGGCGTTCCTGACTTGATGAGGAAAACATGTCGAGACAACTCCCCAGGATGCTTTAGAGCAACTCAGAGTAGACAGGTGTATTCGGGCCTTCCAAAGGCAGCAGTATGGTATCGCTCTGTCCCCACACCACAATCTGTTTCTACAGTAAAACTGATGCGAAGCCATGATATTATCAGAAGCCTTTCCTGTACCACTTAGTGGTGACTATGAAGAATTTTACTCTCTTGGCTTTTTCATGAGTGGGAGGCCTGGCCATAATCAGTGTGCTGGTTGTGAAGAAATGCGAAGACCCACTTAGTTGAGCTCAGGCGAGTGTTGCAGGAATTTGCATGGAGTGAGAAGGATGTTCTCATGGAAATCTGAGAACATATTTTTAAACCTCTTTTCTGTACTCTTCCTAAGCTAAGCATGAGCCGTGGGAAGTTGCCTTAGTCAGCTATAACAAAAATACCACCAATTTCGGGGGGTTGTAAAAAAAAGAACATTTACTTCTGATAGTCCCGCAGCTCAGATGTCCAACATCAAGGTGAACGGTGGATCTGGTGTCTGGTGAGAGCCTGTTCCTGGTTCACAGGTGGCCACCTTCATGCAATGTCCTCACAGGGTGGAGAGAGAGCTAGCCAATTTTCAGGTCTGTTCTCATAAGGTCACTAATCCCATTCATGAGAGTTTCACCGTCATGTTCTGATCACCTCCTCCCAAAGGTCCCATGTCCAAATACCGTCACATAGGAATCACATGAATTTTCATAGCATTCCCCCTTCCACTCGCCAAGCAAGTTAGTTTGGCACCAGTGAATTTTAGGCTAAGGGTCCCAGCTTGCTACGAAGGAGTAAATGACATGGGCCTTTTTAGGCTAACACGCGAGGGTTATGTACGGCCCATTTATGTAACACTGAGCTGGCATATTGCTTAACCTCCGTGTGCTTCATGTTTTTCAGTTGTAAAATGGGGATGATGATGGGTTGTTCTGAGGCATATACGAGTTAATATGTATAAAGAGCTATGTGGTCAGCACTCGATAAGTATCAGCTATTACTCACCTGCCATGCTCTCTCCACGTCCCATTCAGGATAAAGAAAACAATCAATTTTCACATAGCACAAAGACCCACTTCATCCAGCATGCACTTATCTCTTGGCAAGAGTGGCTCCCTGTATGCCCTGCCTTGGTCCCCACTGCAGGCCCCACAGTTACCAGCACCATCTGAAGCTCAGATCTTGCCCACAATTTCCGTTCAGCCTGGAAGGTTCTTTTCTCTTTTACCAAATTGACTCCTACTTAGAATAACAATCTCAACTGAACCATTCCTTCTTCTGTGGAACCTCTGGTCTCCCCAGTGAGACCACGCCACACCCGATTCTGCTTCCTCACAGTTCATGCGGAGGTAGAGCCGCCTGTCGCGTTCACTCTCTGTAAGACCACAAGGTCTCACGCCTTGTATTCCACTCACCACTTTATTTCCGGCCCCTAATGCAATGCCTTTCACATGGATCCTAAAAGTACATGTTGAATGAGTGAGCGGATGGATGGGTGAATGAGGGAACAAATGACCAACTAACTCTTCTTCTCTTCCTTGAGCCAGGCAAACCAGGATTAGTCTCTTCTTTTCCCATTGCAAGTCGCCAAACATGATGAAAAACATCCATCCAAACACAGCTGTCCTTACGTGTCTTACCTTATTTGGTGACTTCAGAATTCCCCTCAAGACTTGTTTTGCTGGACACGGGGCCTGAAATCCAGGAGATCCAAGCAATGCCTTCATCAGCTAACTTCGTCCCGTGTTTCGTCCCGTGGTGGACAGCTGCTCACATCTGCACCCACCAGTGAACTATAATTAGCCCCCCCACTTCCTGTGGATTTAACTCCTTCCTGGTACTCACATGATTTGTGTCCTATTGTTATAAGAACAGAAAATCATTCTGTTCCCTTGAGGGTACAGAGCTCTGTGGGCTAAAACTGAGCCAGACCTGGGCCCTGTAGGAAACTGAGACATTCACACCCAGTGGCCCCTCACTGTCCTCCCTTGTGGCCAGTATAATGTTGCTTCCTTCCAGGTCTTGCCTCTCATGCTACCGAGTGGCTTATTTATTCTGTAGTTGTAGTGGGATGAAACGAGGAACTTGCCCCAGCATGGCCCGCTGCGTGCCATAGGACTGGCTGCTTCGTGTTAGGTGTGGGTTCAGATCAAATGGGACCATCCATGGTCATCTCTGATGTCCGTTCAAGGGATCATGGGAGATACTTGCCTGGGAAGAGCTGTGAGCATGACAGGCATTACTAACACAATGACAATGTCTCTTACAGAGCCCAGTTTTTCCATAATAACTGTTGCACAGTTCTCTGCAATTAGACCAGTATAAAATATATTAAAAAATAGTTGTCTATCATAAAAAGGAACATTAAAATATACAATGAAATAAAACAAAAACATAAAAATAGCGATTAAAATAAATAACATCCATTTAATTTTTTGAATAGGCAATGTGGTCATAATAATTAAACATTTGAAATTATGGAATAGTATACAGTAAAAATTCCCTCTCCCATTCTTGTTCCCCATCATTCCAATTACCACACCCTCTCCAAAACAAGTAACCACTGTTGTTTTAAATTTTAAAAAAAATTTTTTTTCTTTTATTGATTTTAGAGAGAGAGGAAGTGAGAGGGAGAGAGAGATAGAAACATCGATGACAGAGAACATGGACTGGCTGCCTACTGCATACCCCCAACTGGGAATTGGGCCCACACCCTGGGCATGTGTCCTGATCGAGAATAAAACTGGTGATCACTTGGTGCACAGGTCGACTCTCAAGCACTGAGCCACACCGGCCAGACTTTTAAATTTTTTAAATCCTTACCTGAGAATATGTTTTTATTGATTTTCAGGAGACAAAGGGAGAGAGAGAGAGAGAGAGAGGCAGAGAGAGAGAGAGAGAGAGAGAGAGAGGGAGACATTAATTGGTTGCTTCTTGCACTCACCTGGATCAGGGAGTGAGCCCAAAACCTAGGTATGTGCCCTGATCAGGAATCGAACCCGCAACCTTTTGGTGTACAGGATGATACCCCAACAAACTGAGCCACACCTGGCCTAATTTTTAATTTTAAGATAAAGATTGACTCCCAAGAAGTTGTAAAACTGACACAAAGAAGTCCTGATAAAACCATTGTTTTAAATTTATCATATAATCTTTCAGGAAATGTTATAAATATACAAGCACACATAAACATATAGTATTTGCCACTTTGTTTTACTCAAATAGTCTCCTAGCACCGTCATTCTTACTGCTGTAGACTGGATGTTTGTGTAGCCCCAAATTAATATGTGGAAGTCCTAACCCCCAATGGTGTGGTGTTAGAAGGTGGAGCCCTCACGAGTGAGGCTGGCACCCTTAGAAGAAGACATGAGAGAGGTGACCTTCCTAAGCCGCGTGAGGACACAGTGAGAAGGTGTCTATCCACGGCGCGGGAAGCAGGTGCTCGCCAGGCACAGAGCAGCCTGCCCCTTGACCTCGGACTTCAGCCTCCAGAACTCTCAGCAATGGATTTCTGTTATTTAAGTCGCCTGGTCTATGCCGTGTCTGTTAGAGCAGCCCCAAGTAAGACATTTACAAATAAAAGTCCTCCTTAAAATATTATATAACTAATCAAACTGTCATTTGAAATTTTTTGTATCACTTTTCCTGGATCAACGTTTTTCTCTAATGCAGAAGAATAATTTCTGTGTGTGTGTGTTGATGCGGGGTTTGTTTATTTAAAAGCATCAAAGCCTCAGGGCAGTTCTCCAACAATCTGTTTTAAATTCAGATTACTAGGCTCCTCTCCTGGATGTTTTCTCTCAGCAGAACTGAGTTGGTGTCTGGAAATCTGTTCTTTTGAAAACAGTTTCTCCAGGTGGGTCCTAGCTTCAGGCAAGCTGGAGACAATGCAGAGGAAATCCCGGGGCGACGCCCAGAGCCTCCTCCCGCGGCTGACGAGCCCTCGTGCGAGGTGCTCCGTGAGACCCTGGCAATCATTGTCTAGGAAAGTCCTGATCGAGCACACGACTTACAGAAGTGAACACACCGGTGCATTACCAAAGCCACAGCACACCCCGCCCACAGCTGTGACCTCCGCTCCTTGGCAAAGCCCTCAGAGTTCGAGTGCACTGGCTCCCTGCCGCACCTCCCTCGTCCCCCCCCTGGCATTCGCCTGCCGGGCTGTTGGTTTAAAAACCTGTGCGGGAGGTGAGCGCACTGTTCGGGAGTCATCTCCTGAGCATGTTCGCCCTCACTCCAGTCTTGGTGGCGGTTGTCTGCGTTTTGATCGTGTGGATCTTTAAACATGCCGATGGAAGCATGGAGAGAAGGAAGGGGGAGGCGAGGGTCAGGCCTGAGGCTCGTCCCTGGGTGGATGAAGACTTAAAGGACAGCACCGACCTCCACCAGGAGGAAGAAGGTAAAGACATGGGCAGTGCCATGTGGCTGACACCTTCTGTGTTTTTAGGATGTGTGCAGTTGACGGCAGCGGCGTGGAGGGGAAGAAACACGTGTGGGTCAGTTTCCTCGTCAGCCTCAATTGTACAAACAAATTCATGAGTGACGAGGCCGGGTCGTTTATCCCGGGTGGGCAGCTTTCACCTGCTGGGCCAAACCCCCTTTATTCCTGGACACTCTGTCGAAAGCTGCTGAGGGCTGGTACCTGCCCTGGCTCCATTCTGTTCGGCCGTTGAACCCTTTCTGAAGGGGCACGTGGCAGGCTAGGGGCGGCCGTGGGATAAGTGGCCAAGTTTTGATCAGAACTTAGAAATCTAAAATGTGGCATCGGTGAAGGGACTTGGACCGTGCCAGGCCCCGTGGGTTAGAGACAACAGTGGCCGCTGTCCTCAAAGCCGAGTGTCCAACTCGGTAGACACAGCAGTAAACAGGCAACAGAGAGTAACAAAGAGACAAACCAGGTGGAACTGATCACAGGGTGCTTGGAGAGGCCTGGGGCGGGTGGGCAGTTAGAAACAGGACTGACTGGGCTTGGTGAATGAGGTCATGAATAGCAAGTGTTAGGGGGCATCTCAGGTAAGAGCAGCTAAAGCAGAAGTACAGGGGCCAAACCCCTGGGAAAGAAGCCGAGAGAGGGGAGCACTGTGCTGATCAGGAAAGGGGAGAGATGAAATGGGGTAGTGAGGGAGGGCCAGGCCATGGCCGAGCTGAGAAAGAAGAGGTGATGAACGAGGCAGGCAGGAAGGGAAGAAGTTCTTGAGGAGCCCTTAGTAATCTGTGTTTGAGGCCCGTCCGAGATCGGTTGGTGGGATGGAGTCAATTTGGAAGAGGCTCAGTGATTCTCAGCTGGGCTAGTGACGCTTCCATCTTCCAACAGAGATCACCTGGAAGTGTGCGTATGTGGGCATGTATGTTCGTGTGTGTGGGTGTGGGTGTGTCCTGAGTTGACCTGATCTCAGGACCGGGGGTGAGGTATACAGCTGGCAGTCGGTGCTGGGAGTCAACAATACTGAATTCCTGCACAGGATTCAAGCACAGAGCTTCTTCAGAGCTTCCTCTCATGTCCTGTGGTGAGGATATCCCCCCTCCCCGGAATGCCCATTATGGCCCATTGAGAGCACTCGCCTTGAGCAGAGGGGCGTCCATGACAAAGCTGGGGAGTGACCTGCTCTGGTAAGGATGGCTGGATGGCATTGGCATGGGGAACACAGAGGCAGGAGTGAATGAGGGTGAAGTTAGGGAGAATGAGAGGATTTCATAATAAATCAAATTGATATTGGGAAACAGAGGAGGGTGGGAGAGTCATAGCATAGATGGGCAAGGGTCCGGTTTAAAGGGGAAGCTGCATGCAATCTAGGATGTGTGAGATTTGAGAAGATGATGACACCCTGAAGCAGGAAAGGAGAGAAGAGTCTAGGTGAGGGATCTAGGACACAGGTACAAATTGGAGAGTCAACAGCATAGGGGCGAGACCTGGAACTTGGAAAACTAATGAATTCACTAAGGGGTATTGCTAGAGAGAAGATCGAGGACAGAACTTGGTGGTGGGGGCATGCACATGAAGATACAAGGGACTGTGGTGGGAGAAATGGACTAGAGAAAAGAAGATATGGAACAAGGACTGCCAGGAAAATAACAACAACAAGTAGCACTCACTGGATCCAGTGGCACATTTTACATTAGTAAGTTATTTAATCTTCATAACAACAGAATGAAGAAGACACTGTTATTACCCCGCCTTCTTCCCATTTTAAAGATAAAGAAACTGAGTCTCAAATATGCTAAGTCACCTACTAGGGCAGGTAGCGGTAGAGCCAGGACCCACCCGTCTGGCTCCAGAGCCCAGGTACATGGCCAGTCTGCTAAGCCTCCTTTACAACAGGCAAGTGACCTAGAACAAAGGTGGCAGGAGCTGGCCAGCAGGGTTCAAACTTCCCTGAGAGCACAGGGGTAGTGTACATCAAGGACAGGCTCTGGGTTTGAAGACCTAAGAGTGTGAGGGATATGGAGGGGATAAGGCTGGTGGGGAGTCAGAGACCTGGGGCTGGGGCTGAGGTCAGGGACACAGAGAACAGCTCTATGGCTCTGTTCTGGTTCTCCGCCTAATTATCATTTTCCTAAATCCTCTACCTCTTCATTCCCCATTCATCCCACAGAGGAATGAATCAGGCATTTGGGGGCCCCCCTCCACAGCCACACATAAATCTGCCCTGAATGAAGAGGTCATAGTCTCTGTTGAAATTTTTGTTGTTTACATAAGCAAGTCCCACTGAGGTCACACAGGTGGTAGAGGAGAACCAACGTTCAAACTCAGTCTCCTCTGTCACCCGAGTCCCAGCTCCTAACCCCCTGGATGGGTGGGCATGGTCTAAGAGAGGATTCCCTGCTGGCACTGCAGACTTGGAGGGGGGATAATTGGAGAAGAGAAAGGGTTCTATTCCTGAAGAAACATGGAGCTGGCTTTACAAGCATAAAACCATTTTGAAAATTAGCAATAAGAGACAAAACAGTAAAATAAGTGTCGTAGGACATTCTAGTGTGAGTTCAGGATACTGGGTATGAATCCAGCCTCCTCCAGCTCTGATTCACAGAGAATTCCTACTCTACACTCAGAGACCAGGGAATGAATACATGTGTGGACAGACAGGTGGGGGAATGGTGGGCAATTAGAGTCCCTTCTATTGGAGATTCCAAAATGGCAGCAGAGTAAATGGAAGCTACACAGACTGTCTCCCAGGACCAAACTGGAATTACAACTAAAATAAAGACAAATCATCAGGAAAAAGCAACAGAAAAGCAGCTTGTGAGGACCACATAACCAGGGACACTGACTCGATCCTGGGGGGATTGTGGAGGTACGAGAGAGGGCCTGGGAACCCACAGACAGCAGCGGCCTTAGCTGTGAGCAGCGCCCTCGGGGTTACATTCCCAAGCGGCTCCACAGCCGAGAGCCGGGACACACTAAAATAGCCACAACCACTCACCTTGGGCTCCGGCAGAGGAAGGGCGGACTAGACTGGAACTGTGTGGGGACACTCAGGATTTGGAGGGCAATCAGAACTTTTGCTGAGTTGCAGCCATCTTACTCTTTCCCAGGGCTCTGGGAAGAGGTGGCAGCCCCTCCCTCAGAGATTCAACCCCACCTGGTGGGTCACTGAAATGCAAATTGAGGCTCATTAACAACCAGCATCTTCCCCACCCTCAGGAAATCCCCTTACCCTGAACATCTGAGGGAATTTTTCATTTACCAGAGAACCCAAGGCTTTAAGTAACCATAACTAATAGCCTACAGGCAAAAAGCTAGAGGATAACTGAACCATTTCTGGGTGAGCAACTCTAACCAGGACCAGGAAAGTAAGACTTGACAGAGGTGTTGAACGTGGGTCCTCCCTCGCTCATCCAAACCCAGGAGAGGGAGCCACAAACAGCAGAACACCAACACCCACAAGGAAAATTTGGCAGGGTCCAGAGCCCACTGTGATAGCCAAAATGCTGAAACAAAGAAACATGCCAAATGAAAGAACAAGAGACCTCTACCGAAGGTGAGATAAATGAGGAGCAGTTAAGCTAGTTAACAGAACTAGAATTCAGAGCCATGATCTTGAGGAAGCTCAACAGCATGAGTAAGGACATCAACACCATGAGTAAAGACAAAGAAATGTTGAAAATCAACCAAATGGAAATTAAAAACCACTAAGAAGTAATGAAGAATGACATAGCAGAAATAAAGAACACATTGGAAGGTCTAACCAGCAGAGTAGAGGAAGCTGAGGACCGGATCAATGAATTAGAAGACAGGGTAGAAAAAAACCCACAAATCAGAAAACCGAAAGGAAAAAGACAACTAAAAAACAGGAAGACAACTTAAGAGAACTGTAATAACTGGAAACATAATAATATTCACGTCACTGGCGTCTGCGAGGAAGAACATGAGCAAGGGTTAGAGAATTCGAAGAAATAGTGACATAAAACTTCCCTAATTTGGTGAAGGTAGAAGGCATTCAAGTTCAAGAAGCACAGAGAGCCCCAGCTAAGAAGAACCCAAACACGCCCACACCAAGACACACAGTATTTAAAATGCCAAAAATGAAAGACAAAGAGAGAATCCTAAAGGCAGCAAGAGATAAGCAACAGGTTACCTACAAAGGAAACCCCATAAGGCTATTAGCTGACTTCTCAACAGAAACACTACAGGTCAGAAAGGAATGGCATGAAGTAATCAAGGTCATGAAAAACAAGGATCTAAATCCAAGACTACTCTACCCAGCAAGGCTATCATTCAGAATAGAAAGTCAAATGAAGAGCTTCCCAGACAAAAAAAAAAAAAAAAAAATGCTAAGGGAATATATTAGCATCAAAATAACACTGCAAGAAATGTTAAAAGGACTGCTGTAATTAGTAGAAGAAATAGGAAGAAAAATAGAACCACACTAAACAAAAATGGCAATAAATAAGTACATATCAATAATCACCGTCAATGTAAATGGGTTGAATGCTCTGATAAAAAGACACAGAGTAGCTCATTGGATAAGAAAGCATGGCTCATATATATGTTGTTTACAAGAGACCCACCTCACAACAAAAGACTCACATAGGTTGAAAGAGAAGGGATTGAAAAAAATCTTCCAAGCAAATGGAAAGGAAAAAAAAGCTGGGGTAGCAATACTCATTTATCATACTGATAAAATAGATTTCCAAATTAAAGCCATAACTAGAGACAAGGAAGGCCACTACATAATATTGAAAGGATCTATCCAACAGGAAGATATAACCTTGATAAACATATATGCACCCAATATAGCAGCACCAAAATATGTTAAAAATCTTCTGGATGACTTCAAAGGAGAAATCAACAGCAATACAATCATAGCAGGGGACTTCAACACCCTGCTGACATCACTGGATAAATCCTTTAGACAAAAAATTAGCAAGGAAACAGGGACTCTAAATGAAGCACTAGAC